AGGCGCCGAATTTTTTCGGGAAAATTAAAACATGTTAACAAGAAGTAATTTTTTTTTAAAAAATTGGCGCATGCGTATTATTGGTGCCCGTATTTTTTCTAAGTTTTTTGGCGGGAAAATTAAAAAATTTTGACAAGGGTTACCATGAAAGCAAATCTCAACACAATTTTGCAAAAACAATTTTAATCTTGCATACAGCTAAATAAAAATGTTTTCTAGAAGAGTAATCATGGGCTTTTCACACAAATTTGAGCATTTCAAGACAATTTTTGATCATCTTAGTTTAAAAAACGTTTTATAAACACGAAGAATTAAACGAACGAGGTTACGGAAAAACGTTCACGCTATACTACAGAAAAGTTTCCTGGAATTATTTCTTTGAAAGCAACCACGAACATAAATTTGAGCTTTAAGACAATGTTTACTCTTCTTAGCAAAACTTTCGAAAACAACGCGAGACGAGAATGTATGTGAACCGCAAAAAACTTTGAAGCAATGCTTGAATAAATTGTGGCTTTGAAAAATAGCATTTTGGAAATATGTAAAGCTTATCTCCCTCGTAAATGACTCTGTGAGCTCGAAAATTCTACGTATTCTATTAGAAAAATTCTCTGAAATTCATTTTTGGTTGCAATATTTTGACAAATACAATTCATTCCTATAAAGTCATGTGGCAGAATAAGTCCTCGAGTTATCTTTGTCGAGAAAAATAAGCTTTTGGTGAATAAGCACGAAGGCTTGCGACAAAAATAATTTTACCGTGTCGAATTTGGACGTGAATTTTAATTTTGTAAACAAAACAATTAGAATTAGTGAACAGCCCAGTTTAAAACACACACGTACATTTGTAATTTGCCGATAGAAATAGTTTCTGGTTGCGATGTTTTCGCAAACAGAGAATCAATCCGCTTAATTAATTGCACTAGTAAAATAAAAAAAAAATTGCTTTCGTAAACGCGAGCTCACAGAGTCTGTTTACCGAGAGATAAACACGAAGAATCGTTCCAAAAATGATCTTCCACAAATTAGGGCTTGATAATTTTGTGAACAAGACAATTAGAATTGGAGAACAGCCCTGCATTTAAACATGCGAGTAACTTTGGCCTTGTAGATAGCACCTAATGAATTGAATCTTGTCTTTTAAATCTTATCTTTCGAATTTCCATAATTCTGCCGCTCGAAGTTAATCTAATAGTCTGTCTTACTTCACTCCCTTGTGTATTATTCCCAGCTCCAATATATTGCATCTAAAGTTTTGCCTTCTTTATTCCTTCCTCCCATATCTTGCCTCCAATACCTGGGCATTCGTCCTTTTCTTCAATGCATTGCTTTCACAGAGTGTATTTACTTGAGAAATCCTGCAAAAAAAATAATAAAAAAAATCGATTTAATGAACAAGTTCTGTAGTTGTCAACAAGCTGGTTCGCTTCAGTTTACAATTTGATTGCCGATTCATCAAGCACTAATCAAAACATGCATGAATTTATTAACTTCAAATAACTACCAAATGTTTACCCATTGCAAATATCAAATATCCCTTATCAAACGTGATTTATTGTCGCTGTACATATGTGTGCAACAAATAAATATATTTTGATGTCCATGCAAAAATGCATGCTTCACAACCATGAAATTACAAAAGGCGACTTTTTTCTTCTTTGCGTACGAGTGCACGGCCAATGTTATCCGAAAGTCCGGCCCGAAAGATTGTGTTGTTATAATATTTTTAGCAAGAGCACATTTTTTAAAAAAATTTGAGTTTGATTCAGGCTGCGGTCCCTCGATATTTTCATTATCCCTGTTATTCAGACCGAACAAAGTTAACTAAAAAAGTTATAGAATTTCCAGGGTACAACACTTTGATGCGACGAAATCGCATTGAAAATGGGCTGCCTAATAGATATCAAAGATTTCCGTTGCATGACTACTTATTTAAGTTAAACAAAATGTGAATTGAGAGCGTTAACGCACCACTGTTCCTTAATAGCAAGTTATCTTCCAAGTCATCAGAAGACATCTCAGCTCAGTAATTCAGTCTAATCTACAAAATAAATCAAGAAAACAATTAATGTAAGAGACATCATCTAAGAAATAGAAAAAGCGCTATATTACGGAAAACAAGCAAACGAACAAACAAACAACTTAACAAACAAACAGACAGCTTGGACTATTGCCATCTTAGTTTTCAAAATCTGCCCAAAAAATCCCAGGAAATCTTTGAAAGTTAAATGTCGAAAATGATGCAAAGGCTGCAAAGGTTTTGGAAGAAACTTGATAAAGCTTCGCAAAAACTAACGGCTAAACGAGAAAATAAAACCAAGAAATTTGGTCATAGCAGCCCATAAATGCATGGTTGTCATGGAAACGCGAAATCATGGAAACGCAATGTTGATACATCGCAATGTCTCCAGATCAAGTTTAGGAAAAATTATCAAGTGTATTATTTCTTTTTATGATTTTGTTTTTGGTCTCCATATGTTCTTCTAAGTTACAGTGTATTCATCAGGGGATATCAACAGGGAATATCGTCGTGATAAACCACGAAATTCCTAGAACTAACATGAAAGAAATCTATGCTTATTGGTAAGGAGAATTAAATTGTCAAGTTTGGTTTACTAAGTAAGATAAGTTACCTGAGTAATGTTGTCATAGTTGGCCTTATTGCAACGCCCATTTAAACCTGATCTTTGCTGCTTTCCTGGAAGAAAAATAATGAAACAGAAAATTTAGCATTTATTGAAATTAAGAAATTGCTTTGCCCAATTAGGCCTCTATAAAACGCTTCTAGTTTCAAAGTTTTAATTGCAAACTCCCGATACCATTTTATGATTTTAATTCTACAATTGATTGAGACTGTTTTAAAATCATACCAAGTGGCAGAAAATTAGACCCACATAATGTATTCTTTAGAGCACTCTAGGCCCAGTGGTTCGTTAAAAGTTATTGTTACTCACAAATATTTCGGTGAACAAGAAATACTAGCAATTGTTACTTAACTGTTTCCTAAAGCATTTTGTGGAAAGTTTTCGTAGTAAAAGTTACGTTACCTCTACAAAATTCAATATTACGTTCGTGTACACTTCATACCTTGAGGACGACTTAGCGAAGAAAGCTGTCATCCGTTTTGGTAGAAGCATGTGCTTTCCAAGTTTGTTTGAAGTGCAGTTCTTGTTGCACGTATTTGTGACTCACAACAGCTCCGAACGCAAGGACAATCCCAAACTGAAGTTTGATACATTTTTCGTAGTAATAAACGAAGGCAAAGTTGAAGCTGTACGGGTTTAAATTTTAAACATGGCCGCTCAAAGTTCGACACGAAGAGTGCAAATCGACAAATTTGAATAAATTTGCAATTTAGATTTCCAAGAGTTCACGACCGCGCACTGAATAATTGTTGTTACCATTTGATTGGCTAGAGTTCTCACTGTAATTAAGGGCGGGTTATTTAAAATATCTAAAATGTCCTTTCTAGCATCGAAAGGAACATGGATTTTCGAGAAAAGAAAATTGACCACTTAGGGTTTTACTAGAATCATTTACTGAATAGAGTAAGAACTTAGAGGGCTATTTAAGAATTTTCTCAACGGCGGAATTGTTTTCATTGAATTTCCACGGCGGGTATCAAGGTTTTCCAATTTCATTAAATGAAGTCAAGGCACCTCAGGCCTTGATCAGGAATTTGAAAACGGAAGTTTCACTCTGAAACGCATCAAATGTTTTCCGTCCACACTACGCTGGAGAAATTTAAAACACAACAAGCACCAGTCATTTTGGATTTGTATTTGAGGAAAACTCGATCAGAGAAATCACATGATTACCGCGATGTCTTCATTTTCGAAACGCTTCGTTTTCAAAATGTTCTCCTTCCACACGAAAACGAAAAGCCGGTGTTTTCAAATTCCTCCGGTTTGAAGAGTGTTTTGGAAAAGCTCCGTTTTCGTGACGGATTAGTGTGGACGGTAAGCCTAAAAGTAGAAACAAAGTCCTCTGCCGTAGTGTAGACGGGGTCTAACTCGAGACTGCTGGAAATGCTTATCTTACTTGAATTCCGGGTGTAAGGAAAATACATGTATAGCCAGTTCCTACAGCGAAAAAAAAATTAGAGTAATACTGAGCCCATTTCCGAGTTGCCTTAATCCTTTCTATCGAAGCGAGGCCTGGTGCTCAACCATTCAAATGAAAATGAGTTTGACTTGCGTGAGAATGAAGTCATTTTCATATGAAAGGATGGGCACCAAGACTCGCTTTGGGGAAGAGGCTAAAGGTAATTCGGAAATGCCCTATTGACTGCGTTGTGACTTTTTAACTATAAACTCAAAATGACTGGAAGAATTAGGAAGCTTTATCTATCCACAATGCTACGGTCACTGACCATACCTTGAAGTTTTTACGCGCAATATTTCAGAGTAGACTCACTTTGACATTGTCTCGCACAATGTTTCAGATATATTTGCGCGCAGTGTTTTGGATAGAAGACGCAAAAATTGTTGAGCACGTTTGACATGATGGAAAACTTAAAAATTGTTGCGCGCATATTTCAGACTAGACACAATTTGACATTGTCTCGCGCAAAGTTTTAGAAATTGTTGAGGGCAATATTTTGGATAGTAGACACACTTTGAAATTGCTGAGCGGAATATTGGACATTGTGGACAACGTAAAAATTGCTGCGCGCATATTTCAGACAGAAGACACAGCTTAAAATTGTTGCGCGCAATATGAAAGATGATGAAACTGTTACGCGAACTATTTCAATGTCGATTCGCGAGGTTGGCGAAAATCAGTAAAACCCAGATATTCTGCTATCTACATCAGTAGTTAATTTAGTTTTTCGACTATTTCGCATCCAGTTCCAACCATTTTTTTTTCTTGGAGAAAACAGAACAACTCAACAACAATTTAACAATAAAACATCGTAACAAAGTGTCTTAATCTCTATGGGACAATCGTGACCCGTTTGTGATCACCTTGGTTATGATTCAGGGATATTGCACATCAAGTCACTTGTGCTTTTTAAAGCAATTTTTATTGCTATTTTGTATGATTCACTCTGCTTGTGAATTGTAAACGTTCTTAAACTACATGTTAAACAAACCGATATAATATCAACTGTAAATATTAACGCAGTTAAACTTAAGCTTTTAATACAAACGTAAGAATCTCGGATGTTGATCATAAGTTGTGCCTCCAAAATCAGTTTTGCTTATTTCATTTCCGCTTCAAGAGGGGAAAAATATTGATGTCGAGCTGTTATTTCAAGGTGTTTCTCAGCCCACAATTCAAATGCTGTTTTCAAGTTCATTATGAAACATTGGCTTACAGCAAGCCAACAGTAGACTTTGTTAAACTCGGGCGACTATTGGCTGACGGCCAGCCAACATTCTTGATTAGATCTTGAGGCACAGTTCACATCCAACTACAAATTAATCGTAAATACTTAATAACGAATATATCATGAACTGAATTACACACACGGTTATAATATAAGGTATACGAAAAAAAATTAAGCGATCGTGCCCACACTGATTTTAAGCGAAATCTTCAGCTACTTTTCAAACCTTAATACTACACAGCTAAATCTACCACTGTTACTATTGAAAAACAGGTTCTATTTTTTTGAAGACACACGGTTGAAATATTAAGGTCTACAATAGAAGGATAAAAAATCATGTCCACACTGATTATAAACAAGCTTCTAAGCTACTTTTTGAAATGTTTACCTTAACAACTCAAGCTACCACTAATACTATAAGAAATTATAAATTAATTCTTAATCATATTTCATAATGCTTAATGTATAAAATGAGTGTTTCTAAAAACACTCAATGACAAAGTCAGTTCAGCTGTACTTCACAACATTGCATAGCAATCTGATTGATCTAAATACCGCATATTCCCAAACTACGAGGAATTCTCTGAGAATGAAATTTAACATTAATCATTACTTCATACCTCAAAATATTAACAAAACTTCAACTATAACCTCTGCTCCATCAGCTATATCTAACTATGAAACATTTAAGTTCACGAAAACACTTTCATCACTAAGGCTTTAAACTGAAATCATGGATAACACGTTCTGCAAGACTTGTATAATAGCCTTAACACTCTTATATATGTCCTGTCTTCTATTAATTTTCGCATGTTTCTGAGTAGTTTTTTACATCCCTACACCAATGGAAACTAACTTAAGTTTAATTTTGTAGCACAGGACTCAACAGATACAAATCACCATTTAGAACTGGGATAAATAAAGTGAGAATGGAAACGTATTCGACTTTGATAGCTTAAACATCCAAATGTTTTTGCGATTCCTTTGAAATCTGCCCAAGTCTTTCTACGTTCACTATGTTGAGTTCATTAGGTTTCCATTCCGTTTTGATTTCTCAAAGCAATATAGCCTCGTTTGTTTTTAACTGTTTATGGTTATTTTTCAGTAGGTCCATACTGGTTTTACATAAAACGCAATGCAATGACTAAAGCTTCTCCCAGACGCAGTTCCAGGCCCTTGATCTGAGCGCGCGGGTGATAACCCATAATGCTCTTCATGTTCCATGGTGTTCAGAGGCAAAGCCATGAGTTGCTGCAGATGCATGCTGGATTTTAACTCATCACTTAGGTTGCCTGTGGCGCTGAACAAGCATGGTAGACCTGTGGCTGGACCGAGGACAGCTCGGTAGCTCGATTCTGACACACCAGCGGTAGCACTGGTTTACAGAACAGCTGCGTGACGACTGTCATATCATTACTCCACTGTCGTGACTAAAATATATACCCCAATACCAGGTGAACGAGAGGATACTGGGATCGAACACCATATATGGGACATTTGGGATCTACATCATACCACACTCATTGGTTTACAGCTATTCTCTCAAACACCTTATTTGGAGTATCCATTTTGGTCACGACACCTATCCACCATTATCAGTTCTGTTTCTCTTCGGCCATTGTTTCTTGCAATCTGTAGGAATTAAAAATAAAACAAAAGCAAGTGAAAACTTAGTTCATAAGGCCACCAGTAGGCCATATTATGACAGCCTGATCCCATATTGTTTGAATTTCCACAGGGTGTAAAGTAACGTGAAGGGAAAACTGCTCTCAGTGATATCGTAAAATTTCGATAAGTCTTGGTCATATATTTGTTAAACAAGGCTTTTACGGTGGGCGTATTTTCGGGGCCAAGGTTGTCGGAAGGAATTTGGCGTTTGAAAACATGTTTGGGTTCTTTATTTGAAAGGGATATCGGAAAAAAAAATTCAGTGCGTAACAGAACATACTTGACAAAAGTCACTAAAAAAACTAGCTGGTGCGTCTTGTAGACTCTGCTCATCAAGTCTATGGGACGCACCGTCACCATAGCTTAAGTGCGTTACCATAGCTAAGTGTGCGACCAAGTACAATAAACTCAGTGTCTATCTATAACCACCACGGAAAGTTGTATATTTCTTTTAAAGGCTCACTATAATCCCTTGATCAAGTACATTTAGGGAGGTGGGGCGGTTTATTAGCGAAAGGATATATGTGCTTTTATCTTAGTCTAAGTTTTTAGAAGGTGTATTTTAGGGAAGTCCGATTTTAATGGCAGGAGGCGGGAGGAAAGGGGGGGGACCTAGGTAGTTCAGGTGTACTTACTGTTCCACGTTTTTCATCAAGTGATCGTTGATTGACGAATAAAGCTTTATGAAGCTACCAACGACACTAAAATGAGATAATGAAATCTGTAAGTGGCGCAAAAAAAAGACAACGAATAGAAGCAGAGACAACAACATGAAGAAATATCAGTTTCTCAAGGGTCGAATTAATGAGCAAAACATTCAACGTTGCTATATCGTTTCGGCTTTTTATTTTGTTTCATTCACCAAACTTCTCAGGCAATTTCACTGAGCTTTACCTTTCAATATGCTGGGTGTTTTGCCGAGCTGTTTGTACAGATTCCTTTGTAATGAGTGACAATGTGTCAAGTCTGCAAGAAGACAACAAGAAGTTGTTAAAAAGAAATTGTTAAGTGTAAAGCAGGAAATTGTTTAGAAGAAAACAAGAAATTGTTTGGGGATGGTAGGGACGGTAACTTCATCCTTGGTATATGCGATTTCTTGACATACAAACTTGTCTCCTGCCAAAAGATTCATTTGTTCTTTGTACTCGCCAAGCGTCGTACCAAAATGAGGCCAGGCATTGCTATAACCAAAGGTCTTTGCGCATTTCATTTTATGCGCAAAGCAGAGCCTCGGATATCTTGGTAAAACTGGCGGCGGGCGCCTTAAAAAGACGGCAAGCTGCGCACAGGATCATCAAAAACAGAGAATACTCAAGCTTCAAGTTGACTGGTCAAGACAACGACACCGACAACTTGTTTTACACTTTAGGAAACCGCGGTATTGTCAGTAATTTTGGCCACGTTCAAAATTATCTCTAAATTGAAGGAAACCTGAAAATAATAGTTTACTAAGATAGAACAAAACACCAAAGACATAGTAATGAACCATAAAAAAAAGGATGGTTAAGGATGGAGAGGATTGACGTGGATTACAAAAGACGAACTTGAAAAAGTTAGGCTAAACTTTTAAAGATGCTCAAACCGTGACGTGGCTCCTTCTAGAAAACCACATTTAAGCGTCAGCCTCTTGACTCATTGGCCTCCGCAAAGGCTTAATTACTACTTTGTTAGAAGCCTCCAGAATAATCGATACTTACTCATTTCCCAGTTGATTCAGTGTGATACCATTGATCTCAGGCTCGGCAAGTCCGTTCTCAATCACTGGAGCTGGAACGGCTTCTGCCGCAGCTGAACTTGGAGAAGAAATCAGTTTTTGAAGCTTCTCAACAATGGCTTTGGATTTCACCTTGCACTGTTCTTGAAACTACGGCAAAGACATACAGAATGAGTAAGGCATTATATTAAGAACTTACTTTACAAGTGGTAGTGAGCCAGGTAAAAATTAGAATCATCTTGGACAGCACAGCAAACAGCACCACATGAAAGTACTGCTCAATAGCTTTCATGTTTCATCCAGAAACTCAAAAGTTAGAACCACGTTGTACAGCATAATAAACAGCATCACTTGAAAGAACTGCTCAATAGCTTTCATTCGAACGGTCACACACTGGGGTTTCATCCACAGACTCAGAAGTTAGAACCATGCTGTACAACATAATAAAAAGCACCTGCACTTGAAAGAACTGCTCAATAGCTTTCATTTGAATGGTCGCACACTAGGGTTTCAATATACAAGAACAACATGCACTTCTTGACAGTGTGAATGGTTATCTTTAATGAACGAGTCATCAGAGGCTAAGCGACGAAAGTTTGTTTTCTTCATCTCCTTATACAAATGCTACGAAATCAATAATTTCATCAGGACTCACCGCTTGCAAGGCAAGAAGATAAGCATCCTTGGCTTGTGTCTGACCCACAAATGAAGCGTGGAAGTTCTCAGCCTCATCATAACACCGGTTCACCTCACTGCAAACAAGCAAACTTGTTATTTTTTAATTAACGTCATAGGCCCGCAATGCATATAGAGGGCTGTGTAGCTGCAGCCTTCTGCACTCACTGCAGAACAACTGTGGCTAATTGTATAGGATGAAACTGGTTTTTGTTACCATCGAAAGAATAGCACCAAACAAGGAGTTTTTCTCAGTTGCCAAGAATCCAAGAATAATGAAACAAAAGTATTCTTGACTTTTCACAGATCATTTTTCAGATCACAAGCCTTATCAAATGAATGGTAGCCATTTTATGATCTCAATTTTCTACAAGACAAATTTCATAGTAGAGTTGTCATTAACAGTTTTCATTATCAACACCTCCTCCTGTCTACCAAACTCAGTTTTTCTGACTTTGACGAGAAACTTGGATTTTCCCTGACCAGAACCCAATTTTCAGATCATGTTAGGATTAATCAAATGAAAAGCATCTTGATCAAAAGGCTAAACCTTTACAGGAAACGATTTTCTCTGACATTAATATTAATGTGAGAGTGACTTTCGACAACATTTGTTAACAGTCAAGACCTGAAGCAAAGTTAAATAAAACCAGCTGAATCTTCCTACACTTGAATTTTGTTCTCCGTCCTAACTCATGTCAACCCCCTTCATACCACAGATAAACTAAATGTCAATTACTTGAGCCAGTGAACAAGTGATCCATGCAGCTCACTCCTCCCCCCCAGGGACTCGTCAGTTACTTTGGTGATCTTGCTGCACAGGGAAACAAGCTTCTTCCTGTCAAACAGGTGTCTCTGTTCATCAGCATATGACAGCCCTAAGAAAAAAAAGGAAAAAAAAAAACAGCAACAACAATTAACATTATGAGAACAAATTAATGTGTATGTTCAATCAAAGTGTCTTACACCACCAGAGTTTATATAATTATATATATCCAGATCCTGGTTAAGTGGATTTCTACTCCCCTCTCGACGGGATGGTAGTCCTTCACAGGGCTACCCCAGAATTAAATTGCTAGTACCCATTTACAGTCAACTCACACCTTGCGGCCACCCTGCTATTACGGACAGAAGCTACATTCCCGGCCACAGGTACAAAGACATTTATGGAAACAACTCTCGCTATTTCTGATTCCTATTATTATCATTTATGGAATTGTGGATCGACACTTCAGGTGGTCCCCAAACTAACATTTTATTGTTCTTCTCTTGTCACAACGGACAACTTGGACGTATTATATGCGATAATTATTCTGCAGTCTTGGAATGTTTACTAGTTTGTCCACTATTTTGAACTACATTACATTATTACATGTATGAATAGAACTAAATGTATACATACCACAAATTAAAAGAAAATTGAAATCTTAACAGAGTACAACAGTAATTGTGGCACCAAAAATTGGGTCATATTCACTACACCTGACTATATGGCAGATTCTTGCTATTAAGGACACCAAAGAAGGGTCCCAAGGGTGTCCGTGACAATGAGAGTTGACTGTATACATCTGGATGAAGACAGGCACTATGAGAGTAAAGTGTCTTGTCTAAGGGCACGAGACAATGATGCAAGGACCATGTGAGCAAAATAATTCACACATAGAGGGCTTACTCCTGTTTTGGTTGGTGTGATGTTTATCTTTCCTAAAGCTCTGGTAAATCTCTTCAATATTTGTTGCATATGTTGAAACCACATTGGAACTAAACAGAAAGAAAAGGATGTACTTGTTAGAAATGAATTCAGAAACCAGATTCTTATAAACTGAGATTATCGATAAGCAGGCTAAAAACTTTGGGAAAGCTGTTAGAACGAGCAGAGTGTTACAAATAACCTGACATTCCGTATATTCTGCACAAAGCCAACTTAAATAAAACAAAATAAAAAAAATATATCACCTTTATTTACCCTTAGTTAGGGGTTAGTGGGGCCAAGCAATTAAATTTCAGAAACAAAATGTTTCAAATAAAATTTTACAAGGTTGAAAACCCCAACTGGCAGAAAGCAAACCAATAGGCCATTAAAAAATGTGGCCATGGTTTTAAACTCTGGACTACCAAGAACAACACCGCTTTAGGTGGTCATAGTTTCTTTTGCAACCTTTATTAGGGTCGTCACAAAACAGTTCTTCTCACAAAGCAGAGAGAAACGCTGCGTAATGACTCTATAATGGCTGCGAAGGATAGTAAGGTGGTCGGAGTGGAACTTATATCTGCAATCTCGAGATTTCAAGTCCAACACTCTAACCACTTGGCCATGATATCTCCTGAAAATCAAAGGAAATCTTGACTGAATAATTTGAGAACAAAAAGATCAAAGTTTTACCAAGTAATCTACCAAACTGGAAGAAAGATGGTTAAAAGTAGTGAAGATTGAGATGACTCATTATTACAGGTGGTGAACCTGATAAAGTTAGCCTAAATTTTGCAAGATAATCCATTGATCATGTAACCGTGGATCAACAGACATACTGTAAAAGACAGGGTAATTCTACTCACAACGTTTGATCCTCTGCATCCTTCCTGAAGGTTTCCAAGAAAGTGTAAAACCTGTCTGTCTCAACCACATCAGAAATCAAGCTCTTGAATCTGTCAATTCCCTCGTTTGTCTTACGCAACTGAAAAAGAAAATCACCCTGGCTAGTTTTTTCCTCTTTTACTACTTTTCTATTTTATTTTTTAATTTTATTTACTCTTTTATTATTTAGTAAATTCAGTGATCACAGCCAAACTTGTACTAGGATTGATCTCTAAATTATTGTTATTGTGTACCACAAAATAAATTATTGGAACTACAATGTAATCCTGATATTTGTTGAACCTCCAAGAGAAAAGAAAATTGGTTTGAAAATCAGGTAGTTTGAGAAATTGGGGGTAAAATCACAGTGTTTAAGGGATGAGAAAGGAATTTTTAATTATTGGGAGGCTTGAAAAGATGAGGGGTTAAGAAATTGGAATTCTAATGCATAACTGAATTCTAAAGCAAATGGATGTTGTAACTAAGGAGGGGAATTTGTTGTTAAAATATTAACATATATACATTGTCTGTAAGTATTCCAACCTCGGCTTCACTCTGTCTTTTGATGTCTGTCCACTTCTTTATGTCTTGAACGTCTTCCCAAATTACTTGCAGATCATCTATTAGACAAGGACAAAATAAGAACATTAATGAGAAAATATCTAGTAGAAATTGCGAGGAAAAAGCCACAAAAACCTGCAACTGTAAATGACTCAACCATTTCAACATTATAACTACTAGTCAAAAATAAAATATCAGCTAAGACTCAAAGCTAATGGTTACAAAGTTTCAAAATCTTACTTTTTTGCCACTAAGCTCAAGTAAACAGACACTTATTCACATGTTCTTCTCAGTCCAGATGAGATTAAACTTGCAATTTCCATACTGTAGAGATAGCCCTAATAGATCTGAATGTCTCTGAATTTTTGTTTGTTTGTGAACTGGGTTTTGACTTTTTGTCAGCAACTTACAACTATTTAGACACATGAGATGCATTTCCATAAAGCTTCTCAGTCAGTATGAAATTTTTCTTGTTGAATCTAAGGTATCTCTTGCAGGTATCTCTTACATGCTTTTTTGACTTAGAGTGGTTTCAAGCAAGTGTCTCAACCAACATCCAACACTACCATTGAATCAAAAGAACACAAACCAAATGGCTAATGTACTAAGTGAGGGAAGACACACATGGCCAAGTCGTGATTTTTAAATTTGATTGGTTCAGTTCAGCTAATGCAGTGGTCACTTGCGTTACAATATCACAGAGCAGTCACTAAAACAATATTGGATTTCTTTCGACACTCACAGGACCTTTCTACCAATGTGACACAATATTAACAATTTTCCATAATTTTCAAATAACCAAAAAAATTACCTCAGTCCATACTGCTGAATTTGATAACTCTACAAAGTTTCATAAGAGTTTGTTGCAAACTCATAAAAACATGGGACCCCAAACGTACAAAGAAATATATGCCAGGGGCAAGCAGGCATGTATTTCTTCACAAAAAATCAGCAAGTTAGGGGTCCCTTATTTTTTTGAGTTTGTAACGGTTTCCAATAAGACTTCACGTATTTACTAAATTTGGCATTATATATCAAGCGGTGTGGTTTATTTTTTGTTTGAATGAAAAAAATGAAAAAGCGTGACTTTGGTTAAAAGGTTTACTGAAAACCACTGCATAAAGAAAAGAACTAAGACCGTTCATCTGTCAATTTATCTACAGTAGGATCACTTTCTACCAAAAGGAACTAATCGATTTGAACTGTACATGTATTTCAAATAATACTAAAATAATACTAAATAAATACTACTTTTATTAAATACTTATGGACTTAACACACATGAGAAATGCAATACAAGAATGAAGAATACAAATTAACTTACCTTCTGGCTCAGAAAGCTTTGATAAGAGAGCCTCAAATACCCAGATCAGATGACTTTGACTTGGGTATCAGAAACACAAAGTATAAAAAGTGGAATAAGATGTTGCATAGAATCTGTTTTACTTTGTTTTTACTGTAATAAAGTGTTCACCAACAGGACATAACGTGCCATGATTGGCCGTTTGAGTTTATTACAGTAACATCAAACATGTGCCCTACACACTCTGCATGTTTTTATTGAGTTATGATACATGCCGTCATGTGCTTGAGCACACACAATTTCTTGCCCGTTACATTTTATTGCTTCTAGTGCATTGTTGAGTTGTGGACCTAGGAATTTTTAAGGGGCGTAGTTAAAACACAAAATGACAAAAAGATGACATGGCATTATGGGTAAGAGTCAATGCAATGTGGAATACATACAACCCTTACAATTAGTGAGAGCTAACCACCATGGAGTCAGTGATATTTAGGCTTACTGTTGTGCCATTTGCCATTTTACATTTCGTGTTTTAAACATGCCCATTTTTAAGCACTTGACATAATATAAAACTTTAGAAGTGCACTTCTCTTACTAGCACTTCTTCTTGTAGTCAGGTCAAAAACTTCACTTAAATTGATTTGATTTCTTTGCAAAAGTTGTTTCCAAATTGCCCCTAAACATTTTTTTAAAATCAATTTATTCTTTGCAAGAAGCATCATCTCACATATACACAACAGTAACATGGACATGTTCACTGTTGATGACTACATTTGAGCCTCTGATAAGCAGATGCTCTTTGACCAAAAATTTCAGGCAAAACAGGCTTACCCATTACAGCAAACTTCAGAGATTTGCTTGAGGGACATCCAGTCTGATTCAATTTGTTTGCAAAAAGACACATACAGCATCATATCTTTCTTGAGATTTTTTCTGCAAAACAATAGAGTTTCCTTACAGTTCTTTTTGCGAAAAGAATTCACCAAGATCAGTAATGCTAATGCACAATGGAATGGAAGAAAAATGGAATAAATAAAGAAATGCTATACTAAATTTATCATCCAGCAACATACAAATAAAGAAATTTTCTTCAAGTCAAAAGAAACATACAACAAGCAGCTAGGGAGGTGGTATGGTTTACAGCATTGGGCTTGAAATTTGGAGGCCATTGGCTCAAATCTTCCGCCCTGCTACTCATCAGATTTGTTCTCAAAAAGCCCTAAGCTCAACTCCTTGGGCATGCTTTGTAAACAGCCAGCTACATGTAGTTAGCCTGGAGGACCGTTAACAAGTTTAATTTCCAATATCGGCTTCTTTATTTATAACATTCACAATTACATGTAGCAGCTAGAGCAGCAGTTAATGATCCACAAATTAATTGATTGATTCTTATTCAATGGTACTGTAACAATAAGATCATCACACTGAAAGAAAAACAAAAAAAACAAAAAACAAACAAACCAAAAACAAAAAACCTTTGGACACTCACAAGATGCTTTCAATTGTCACCAGCATAGCTTTTGTTGCTCTGAAGTACTGTTGAGCAGCATACTTGCAGCAGTATGCACGATTTGTCATTATCTATTGAAAAAAAGTCTTGTTAAAGTCTGTTTCAGTCCAAAGATTCAACCAGAGGAGACAGATAGCTTGCATTGTCTATCATGATCAGCTGGTGCTTAATGCTACAGTATATTTTTTATCTCTGATAAAATTCTATCAAGGATTTTAAAAATTTTTGTGACAACCTTTGAGGGTCTTCTTTCACAATCCCAAAGCTACCAGGTTCTTCAAGAATCCTACACAAAATATTAATGATTGTGCAATTTGATCCTGCCAAGGTCCTCAAGGATCTTCTATCAAGTCCTTCAGGATCTTGAAGGATTCTTGCAAGATTTTTCTCTACATGTAAAGGGTAGCAGTGATTAACACTAGCAATGACTAAGACTTTAACTACAAAATGGTAGGAACTTGTTCAATTTTAAGAAAAAGAGCACCTTTGCCATGGATGAATCAGATTCACAGTTAGTGAATTCGTCTGGTATGGGCAGAAGATTGGCTGTGAAGTAAAACACAACATAAAATTTAATACAGCTAGTCCATTGGTTGTTGGTTGCAGTATAAATTGTTATCTCTAGAAAACTTCCACAAAAATAAGTAGAGTTAAGTAAACATTTGGAAAAAAAACTTAAACAAAAATACAGTTCCTTGCCTTTGTACAATACATGATTCAGTTTCATGATTAAAAGTCAAGAGTTAACTTCTACAGTTTACACGATTCACTTAGTCATGCTGGAAGTAATTTTTGTTAACCAACGTTGTGGGAAAAAATGATATTTCCTGAAGACATGGACTGCCATTCAACATAAAACCACAGTTATAAAAGTTGTGAAGTCTTGAGCATTTGATGAGTTGTTCTATTGTATCTTGAAACGATGGAATGATTGATTAGATTGAATAAAAACCTGCAGTTGACTACTTCTGTCTGCTGAGTTTTTTGATACCTAAACTGACAACGAAATCATCACAGCCTCATTTGGCAAATATAAAATTTTTTGGTCATTCTTACGAATTTTATGAAGTAATAGTCTATCAGGAGACATATACTCTCCCCCAATCATCACCATAAGGTTGTCATCCTGAAAATTTAAATACAACCATGTTTATTAAGTATGAAGGAAGGAAATACACCGTAGATGGATAAATGGATAAAAATATATGATTGTGTGAAAAAATGAATTGACAAAAATGAGTGAATGATTGCATTGCAGTAAGAATGAATGACTGGTTATATGTGATATGGATGAAGTGAGTGGAAATGGAAAGATGGATGGATGAAAGATGGGAGAAGAACAGAGGGAAGGAAGAGAGAATTGAGAGAAAAACAGAAGGGAAGGAAGTAAAGAAGGCATTGAAGAACAATTCATTTCAAAAAGGAGAACTACCAGAGAGAGATGTATGGACTCAAAATAAGGGACAAAAAAATAAACATCACAAGAACTTTCAGCATTCAGTTACAAGCCATTTTTTGGCACTGCATCTCATTTATCAACTGAAGGAGGAATTCTCAGCAGTCAGCACGCTAAATATTTTTGCACCTGTGACAAATTTTATTTTGGGCCAGTGTTATGTCAAAAATCAAGTAACTGAGTGCCAAATAATAACATGTACAGTGAGCTGATATTGAAAAATTATTTATTCTCTTCTACTTACAGAAGTAATGGGATATGAGGAGGATGGAGCCATGGGATCTGGCTTGAACTCATCATACTTGAAGAACAACTTCTGCTGAGCTGCACTCACACCTGTCTGTACAGCTATGAGCTCCTGGAACTTTGCAAACCTTTTGTTGAAAGACAGCGCTGTCAATAATACAGTTGGAAATGTCCCTAGACTAAAGCTAAGAGTGGGTAAAGTAAGGCCAAACCTTAAGGCCATTCAGACATGCACTTATCTCTGAGACTTAGAACTCCCCAGAGTCTCGTGACGAAGAATGCCACAGGAGGGCTTCCCGGGAACGGTTCATTGTTTATATTTACAGGAAATATTACATCGGGAAAAGTGAAGTCTGCCGTGAAACATTCATTGGCTCATAAACCGAATTAGCAAATACATCATGAAAAGAAGGAAAAGGGAAAAAAGAGAAACTGTTACAATAGTGAAAATAGCCTTTGAATAGGCTTTCTCGGCAAGCTGAACCAATTCTGTTTGTGGTAAGAATATGGAAAAACACTCTTTGAAGCAGAGAATAGGAGCACCTGAAAAGGCTACCATGTCAAATATCAGCAATTAAATTCGCCACTAATCCAGCCGCAATCACTTTGTGTGCCAGAAGCGGGACAGCAACAAAAATGCCCGCGATTTTCACCTGGGCTTGCTTTCAAATTTGGGAACATGAAAACCATACAAAATCGCCCAGTATATCGCTTAATTAAGACCAATATAATCAAAGCGAAGATTTCTGTGTGAAAAATTGAAAGACGCGAGGAATAAACAATAGAAGCGAAATACAAGTCTGTTATGAGTTTGCTGCAAAAATTGTTGCTGCTCAACTCAGTGGATGACACATTCTAATTGGCTTATCACAGTTTCCTGTCCTTGACTTGTTTTTTAAACTCACGTTTTGGTGGATAACTCGTTTGCGTTTTAAGTTTTTAAATTTTTTTTTTAAGAAAATTTAGATTAAGCAGGTGTGAAAAAATTTTTTGGAAAAAATAGGCCCTTGGAGGTCTACAGTAAACTTAACTAAAGCACCATGTTTGAATTTTTTTTCCTTCACTTCTTCCAGACTATTTCTGCTTTTAATTATTTGAATTTGTCTCTGTCTTGTCATACATACATGTAGTAGGGCTGTCAATAAGCACCTGTAATGACTGAACATCCTTGATGCTACGGGTGACAGTGCTTTCAGTATGATTTTTAGGTGTCTCCCTTTTGCCAGCAACCACTAGAGCTGATAAAAGGGGCCAAAGGCCCTTTGTCCTCTAGGGAGTATGGGGGCATACCCCCCCCCCCCAAATTTTTGAAATCAGGGAGCTTGGAAACATGATTTGCAGTGATTTGAGGCAAAATATTAACACCCAAGCATTCATTATTTTTATCAGAAAAAAGTATTTTATTACATAGTTTAAGGCAGTCTCATGTATATACACTATTTTCAGTTGTGTACGTACTACTGAGATAAAGGCATGCCTTACTAAAAGCAAATAGAATGTTACATGTCACACTACATGTCTGTTTGTTACAAGACTCAAGAAATACAACATTAAAACCTTATGTGGTTGCCTTCATGTTCATGCAAAAGAACCAAGCATCTTCAGCTTTTTCGATATATACTAAGTGAAGTTTGCCTTTCTAAAATAATACTAATATTAATAATATTAAAGTGAACATTTTGCACAACTGACTTGGACTGGTCTCTTTTTCTGTAGTGTCCACTGGCACTCACAGGTTCTTAACACAATTGTTGTTCAGTAATACGAGTCCTGTTCAGACTAATGTAAATGAAGTGTTTTGATACTCAGAGATGAGAAAAGTACATGCTGGGCTAATTCATCTACTCCTCAAGTTCCATGTGAAGACATATGATTACTCATAATCATACTCAAAGTCAGAGTCTCCGCCACTCTCTGAATCACTTTGGCAGCTTCAATAGTGTTACAGCCATTGCTACCTCTGTATCCACATTGTGCAGCCTTTCATCATCATTGCTTTCGGTCTGAACTGGGGATTCACGTTCCTCTGGCTCAGATTCCTGGTCCATGTCTTCTTGCATGTCAGTAGCATTCTCTACTTGTACACCAACATCTACACGCTCAGCAGCACTCATCGCTTTCCCCCTAGCAAGTCCCCTGGGTGGTTGAGCCAACCATTCTTTCACAGTTTCTGCAATAAGAGTGTCAGACTCGTTTGTATGCAGTTCAGATCCACTAATACTCACATGCATTAGGGAGGAGAGCATGTCGTTCTTTAAGGCTGCTTCTCAAACAGGTCTTCAATTGCTTCACAGCGGATGCTCCTCTTTTGGGCCAGGCATTAGAAACTGGTAATGAAAGACAGATTCCTGCAATTTGCACAAGATTAGGGTGAAAATGCTGGTATAAGTGTCACATCAACAAGTGGTTAAGCAACCACTCAGCTTTTCTCTGGGTTCAACACATGCATTGGAATTTCGCTCTTGAGCTGAAGTAGGTTATACTTGAACTTCTTCCATTTGCACATTAATTCTTCCTTTAGGTCTTCTTCGTTTTCTTCGCACTTGTAGAAGTGGCCAGCTAAAATTTTGATCTCAGAAATCCAGGGCCAGGGGATCAAATATCTTGAAAGCAGTTAGCACTGGGAGGCTGTTACTGAACCGGTTGGTAATGCTCTCTACCAGTGAATGTGTATACCTTTTAGTCAAGTTAACAAGCATTCTTTCATCATTTGCCCCAAGTGTCATCTTGCATCCACAAGGTCTTTCTTAAGTTGTTTTAGTGGCTTCTGTTGATTAGCAACATCTTTAATTTCATCAATGGTGAACTTTATTGCTGGTTCAATTGCTGCAAAAGATACGTTTCCACCTTGAAATGATCGCCTCAAGTGTGAAAGGGCTGGGAGAACTTGCTGAAGAAGATACACAGTTCCAAGGAACTTTATATTGGACACCTGCTGCAAAAGGCCAGGTGCAGAAGCATCACCTTCTTCTTTCAATACTCTTAAGGTCTGTGTTAGAGCCGTAAAATTTTCAAACACTCCGTGAATTGCCCTCTCTGTGGATAACCATCGGCTTCTGCATGCTTTTTTGAACTTCTTTGCCACTCTTTTGCTCCCTTCTTTCGACAGAGTGATTGCGTTTGATTCTTTGACTGCCTTAGCATATGCTGCAGTTTTTTTGGCTGAGTTGTTAAAGAATGACCAGAGTTGTAGCAAAATCTTCTCCACAGTTTTTCTGTAGGCAACATCGTTGTTGGCATCACCACAGGCAAGTGCCAATCAGTGGCATATGCAGTGAACATTAAGCATACCTTTAGATTCTTATCGAAGTAAGGATGCAACACCATTTTGCTTACCGGTCCAAACACTAGCACCATTTGATCCAAGACCAGTAAGTTTCTTAACATCCAGTTTAGATTCTTCGAGTTGCTTGATGACAACTGATTTAATGGCCTCAGCATTAGCAGAGTGGAAATCTTCTAGCACATCATCCAAGGCAAGAAACTCTGTAGTAACTCTGCCAGTTGGTTCAACAAATTTGACAAACCTTAACGAGCTGCTCCTTACATAAACTGTCACAGACTTCATTGCAAAGTAGGCCGAAGCAGTTGGATTTAAGGACTCTCTTCACCACATGCTCTTTGATCGTTTTTCCCAGCAGCAGGAACATTTCCCGGACTGAACCACGAGAACAATGTTAAAACAACTTTATATCGCATACTCCCAATTCTTCAATCAACTCAAGTAGACGAACAAACTTGCAATTTGCCAGTTCTTCCTTCGCAACCCAGTATAATGTGTGGAAGGCTTTGTGATAAACACTGTCTTTGACTTGCTCCTGGTAGCTAATTTGATGGTGGAACACTGAAACCCATCTCAGAACTCAGCCTTTGCTGCTGCTATATGTGTTCTTCAACTGTTTTCCGTTTATACCGGATCGAAGGCTCACTGTTAAATTTCTTGCTTTTGTTCTGAAGATTGATTGGGTCATGTTTTCAACATAAAATGCAGAACATGCCTTCTCCTTCTTGAAAGAGGAGCCAGTGGTAGCCGGTTTTATCACAGTAAGAGAGGGTTGGGTCAAAAATCCAGTGGTGCTGGAAGCGATCTTTGGTTTTCATTTGCTGTTGCTCATCTTTGCTCAAGGTAGCACATTTCTCCAATTGACAGCTGTAAAAACTATGGACTTTGGCACCAACAGGGAAGGAGTGGTTTAAGAACTTTCTAACTTCATCTGCTGTGACTGGACTTGCTTTGGTTGATGAATCTTTATCAAGTAAAATTGTAGATTTTGAGGTTCCCTTTACAGTCTCCCTAGTGAGGTCACTCATTGTTTCTTCATTTGGAATTGGAGTTGTAGTCTTTGAAGCCTCGTTAGCAGTACTGTACTCTGTAATGCGGTTAGCTGTTGTTCCTTCATCTGTTGAATGTTGTATTTAATATGACATGAATTATATGATATTGCATCTTCAACTTGATATGGGGAGATGGGTATTTCCCTGTACTTTCCACTTGAGTGAAAATAAAGGTTGTTGCTGACAGAAAAGCTATTGTAGCTTACGTAGTTGTTGTTTGTTAGTACGCTTACAGTCAGTTGTTATGTGCTTCATGAACTACTTTTGTGAGCCCTGTTAACTAATTGACCTTTAAAAATACAAGTTCATAAAATAAAAGTTCAAACAGCTCTTTATTTTGCATGCTACTAATAGTAGCTCGATCGATCTCTGTTCCTGTCCACATATTCCCAGGTTTACTAACCCAATTTTTGAGATTTAGTATTTTGTAAAGTATCGTGCAAACATTGATACTAAATAGCAAGGCCCGAACACAAAAACAAACTGTTCAGAAAGTTAAGTTACATACTGAAGTCAAGACCTTTTAAAAACCAAAGCCATTCATGATATATGACTTGGCTTGATGTTAACTTCTTAAACCATGGTAGAGACTTACCTGATTGTGTCTGTGAGCTTTTTGAAGTAGAACTAGAAGCAGACAGAAACAACAGCATGGACTGCTGCCACTTCATTGTGGAACTGACGATGCATGAAAATGAGGCTTCTTAAACAAGAGGTAAATCATGTAATGTGCCCTGGAGTGTGACCTTTAGTCACGATGATGTTACCGACAACGTTGTGTAATGCGCAAATTAAAAACAACTACTTGTGGCTTTTAAAGCAGTAAAATCACAGGGTAGTGTATAAATTAACTATTTGGTTGGTTTTTTAATGTTTTTATTAACTTTCCAATAATAACCAACCATTTAATAGGGTGAATTGCTAGTTCCTTTTTATTTGACTCCATAAGCACATCAATGCAGGAATACAGCCAGCGATTCGCAAGAGAGTACCTGCCGGAGCTCCAGTGGGAGCCCGGTCTTACTGAAAGCAGTGGGTGAAACTGCCTTTTGTTGAAACAATTCACCATAAAGTAACAAGTTTGTTACCGGTGTGAAGATCAAGGCTACAGGTACAAGGGTGTGCTCTAGGTGCCACAGGAAACAAACTTTTGCCTTTGAGCGACTGGAACAACTTACTTTTTTCGCATAAGCTTTAAAGTGCTTGGCACCTGGATTTCATGGTCAGGGACCTTTGGGCTCCTTGCAATTTTCCCTAGACCACAGTCTTGAGGTAAATCAAAACTTATTGACAACCCTGCATAACAAGTCATCAACACTGGTGAAAAAGTGCTGGCTGGTGAATTCAACAACCAGCTGAATGTCACTTAAAGTGGTACATGATCAAAACTTACGTGTCACCCTGCTTGATGTAGATTTTATGGAAAGATGCTGAGTGTACAGAATAGACATCAATGACCTGAAAAGACACAGTATGACTTAAACACAATCAAACTCCTATTTGAAAGCTGTTGGTGGACAGGAGTTCAGCTTACAGTTAATTTCAAAAATGTTTTACGAGCTACTAAATCAAATAGCGTGAATCATATAAAGTAACACTGTCATTTAACCTCTAAATTAATCCACTAATTTTCCACATAATTTAAAGCAGTTCTTAAATGTAAACGTCCAAAGATAAGCCACACGTGGAGTTTAGAAGCTCCAATTTAAAAACAAATAGGACAACAATATAACACCTGACTATATAGGAAAATTATTAAGATGAATTTCACTCAAAGTTTGAGCAGTAAGTGCAAAAGTTATTTACTAAAAATCTACTCACAGCACGCTAATGTTTTGAAAACTATTTGAAACATCTCACTTTATTTCATTTCTCTAAGAGAACCGGCAATTAAATTCTCAAGCATTCTTAAGACAGTTTAAGTCAAACCTCATAAGAATGCTTTTAAAAAGCATGTGCTAAAAGTGTGTTTTGAACTGACATGAAACATCTCTTTAAAATAATTAAAATATGGGTAACATCAAACTCAATTTTCTTTTGCAGAGTCAGCTTGAGAGCTTAAGTCTCAATAAGTTCTTCTTAATTGGAGTGATAATACTACCATGCTATGTGATTTTTCTGGTAACTTTATTTTTGCCATTACAGAGCAAAAGTTCAGTGGAAATCATTCTTTTTAACTGTTGCAATACCTTTCTTGATAAAATGTCCTGGATCCTGGCAAAAAATTCTTCAAAAGACATTGCACTGGATGGTTCTGATTCCAGTATGCCAGCCAATACAGGAGTCAAGAGGTCTTTGAGTCCCCTGAAAATAAAAACCACCAGGTTTCATGCAAATTAAACGTAAGGAAACACTGTGCTGCTAGTATAAATCAGCCCTTTTAAACTTGGCTTAACTCACTGTGATAGACGGGAGTGCTCTGGAAGTTTATCACTCCATTCAATGTCTTCTCCTTCACTCTTTTGGACCCCTGAAATCATTCCAGACCTTTTCTTTGATGTTATTAAGTGCCTGTAGATAGCAACATTTAATAGTTTTAAAAGCAATTGCATCAACTGATGCATAGGCAGGTATAATTCTCTAAGGGTCTTTGGATCATGTGTACTAAAGGCATCCGTGATAGATACCCTCGATCAACATCTTGAAAAAGACTCGATTGACATCTCGATCAATACTCTGTCGACACTTGATTGACATCTTGATCGATACTCGGTCAACACTTGATTGACATCTCAATCGATACTCGGTCAACACTTGATTGACATCTCGATCGATACTCGGTCAACACTTGATTGACATCTCGATCGACATCTCGATTGATACTCTGTCAACACTTGATTGACATCTCGATTGATACTCGGTCAACACTTGATTGACATCTCAACTGATACTCGGTCAACACTTGATCAACATCTCGATCGACATCTTGATTGATACTCTGTCAACACTTGATTGACATCTCGATTGATACTTGGTCAACACTTGATTGACATCTCAATCGATACTCAGTCAACACTTGATTGACATCTCGATCGATACTTGGTCAACACTCGATTGACATCTCAGTTGACCGTCATTCGAAAGTCAACTACATGTAATTTTCGCAGACACACAATCAAGTGTCAATCGATACATATGAGTCGGTCAACGCTCGGCCAACTATTAACCCACTGCCCACTGGGTTTTGATCAAGTGTTGTTTAAGTGTCGGTCTAGCGTCAATTGCGGATCGATTGAGATAAAGGATCGATTGGAAGTATCGATCGACACTTGACTGCTGATGCCTTTAGAACACATGATCCAGATCTTCATGGATCCTTGAACCTCTTTATAAGGATATTATTGAGAATGTTATATGAAGATACTGCCAAGATCTTGATCAACAATTTTTAAGGTTCTTTTAACTTGTGAGGATCTTCAGAGGTTTGCTCAAAATCTTGCTGATGTCATTTATAGATCCAGGAGGATCCTGAGAAAGATCTTACATTTATCTTTCAAAGATCATTTAAGGCCTTGTGAAAGAACCTTATCTTTAAAGATCATACTGTATTTATTTAAATATTAAGTATTTTCTTTAAAGATCTTGTAAGAGAATGTGATTTTCATCAGGAATGACTGCAAAAATAGCCATCTCCACCCCTGAGGAAAGTTATTAGAAATTCTGAGGAGGTTTTCAAAACCCAGACTTCTAAAAGAAAGTATGAAGTTATAAACTGCAATTTTCACAGAGAAGGGGGTGGATTATATGGGATGGGGGGAGAGGAAGGTTTCAAGAACAAAGTTAATGACTTCTAGTTACTCCAAGAGAGAGTGACAAAAGTTCATATTGGAAATTTAATAAAATAAAACTGAGAAAGACTTTTGCTTTAATTTGCCAATTCAACAATTTTCTTTATCTCACACTGGTTATCTGACCAGTACCTAGAGTGTGAAATACTTACATGGTGTCCCTGTTCTGTCGCCCTCCATAGGGTCTGAAGGGTAACTGTCCAGTGGCAATATGGTAAAAAGTAACTCCAATACTCCACAAGTCAACCTAGAACACAAACTCATGCCTTAGTCAGATAATTAAATCCATTTCTATGAGCACTGTACATAATGATTAGAACTTAGAGGTGAACTAGAAGAAGGTAAGAGATAATACTACTCAGCACTGCCTTGACAGACGTACAGTCCTCCCTGCCAATCTTTTTTTCCTTGTTATTTTTACATGCAGTTAATAAAAGGAACATCTGCAACTACAGGCTGACTCTGAAGAGCGTGAAGTGTCAATGCCCAAGAACAAAATACAACTAGCCAGACGAGAGCTTGAACCCAGATTGAACAGTCAATATCATGACCTGCCCACTAAACACTGGACACTACAGTATGCCTGACCAGCTACATTAGAGCAGGTCAATTCTGCCTTTCACTAAGTGTGGGCATTGTGAAGAAGTTAAACTACAGTGGAACCACGCCTTACAGTCAACCCGTTAATATGGCCACCTCGTTATTACAACCACTTTATTCTTGCCCGAACAAATTAAGGCTCAGTCAGAATTTTCTTATTCAAAGAACCCCTTTTTATATGACCACCCTGTTAGTCACATCGCCAGATTTTTGTGACCTGTTGGTGACCAGATTAATGGGGTTCCAAGCTTCTCCTTGGTGTAGAAGACAGAGTAGATGGCACAAAAAAACACTGTCCCACAAACCTATTGTTTTCATTGTTTTCCTCATTCTTTTGTCCTCAATTGTTTTCTATTGTTTTATGTCAGCTCTGTCTTCTACACAAAGTGAGAGGTGGGTTCCACTGTACAATATCACCACGGAACTCACCATTGCACCAAAAGCTTTGTTGCCATGCTTTCTTAGCACACCTCTCTCGTAAAGATCTGGATGCTGTGAATCGTATGCACAGTCAGCAAAAGTGATCTATAGTCAAATAACCTCATGACAACATAGATGTATGTCAGAGGATATAATAATGGGGAAAAAATGGCCACTCATGCTATTAACTACTTATTAACCAAGAGTGAGGTCTTTATGGGAAAATCTTAAACAGAGACCTCGCCATATTGACTGAGCAATAGTGAGGTCAATACGGCAAGGTTGAGGTTTGAGATTTTCCCATAGAGACTGAATGTTTGAGGTTAATAAGTTGTTTATTATATGGCTTTTCGCTTTGTCTTTGCAGGCCCATAACCAGCCAGGCTGTGGGCATTATAAGAAAACAATGCCTTAGAGCTAGCCAATCAGAGCACATGTTATATCAGCCACAAATACAAGCCATATAACAATATTTAATAATTCCATGAAGCCAAAAAAGCTTGGGAGTGTATGGTTCATGTTTAGTGTTAATGACCTACCAAATATTCCTCAGTACCATAAACAGACATAAAGCCTTCATGAGCTTCCAGCTCTCTTGCTGCTCCGAAATCAGTTAATTTGTAGACAAAGCTGGTTTACAAGAATATAAAATTTGTTAACAACAATCAATCATTTGATGACTAATCATGTAATAATTATATATTAACTGAAGTTGATCACAACCTACCTTCCATCATCTTTCACCACTCGCATGATGTTGCCTGGCTTGAGGTCCCTGTGGACCATGCCTTGTTCTCGTAAGTGCTTCATTCCTGCAACTGATAGATAGTGACCACAATAGCATAATTAGTTAGAGATCTATGACAATCTGCAATTTTGTGTTTATCATTCAGGGAAAGCCAAAGTCTCAAAATTTGTTATTACAGTTTGAGTGTTTTTACCTCAAAGTAAATATAACTGTATATTGGATTTTTTTTTTGAAAAAAAGAAAAAAACAACAACAAAATAGAAAACAGCCCAAAGAAAATATGCATGCTAATTTGTTAAAAATCACGTCTGTAACTCAATAGAAACACAGAACTAGCACAAGCTGTCAATGAAATGATGGCTTGAGCTGCAAAGACAATTTACATTTCAATGATCAATGTAAACAGCTGTGTTCTTTTTTTGTCGCTGAATTTTTCTTAAAGAAATAGAAAACATGTTTTTAGTGTTTCTATCAAGTTTAAGTATAAATCTACCAGTATTCTATCACGAATGCTGTTCTCTTGTTTGCTACGCTACTCACTATCTATTCTGTGATAGATGGAGAGTAGCATAGTATTGTGCCCTTGTTAACACAATGACGGCTGCTTCTTGACGTTTTCGAAGTGTCTGTGAAGAGGATTTAGAAAGTTTTGAATGACTAGCAGATTTATACTAAAACAATTATTAGATTATTTGCTCAGGATTTCTATGTGAGGTAGTTGAGGAGGGCTCTCATCAACTAACAAGTGATAGAAATCTCGAGCTCATAATCTAATTGTTTAATAACAACACTCATGGAAGTATGGGAGAACTCAAAAAAGCTGTAGAAACACTTGCCTGTCGGTTTGTGTTCCCATACCATTTCTTGTTCTCCCAAACTTTCACTTGGACACAAGGTACATGTTTTCTATTTCTTAACTAAATCACAATGGAATCCAGCATAGCCCCATTAATTTAAACCACTTTCAAGACCATGCATGCTTCCTCCTCAAGGAAGCCCTGATGTCACACTGTCCTTACCAACATCTTTAACCACTTGTTTAAAGTCATCCTCTGTGAAGCCATAAGCATTAGCAGGATTTTCAAGCAAGGTGAACAGACTTCCTCCAGAACAAAGCTCCATGACAATGATTTCATTCTGAGACCTGAGCTGTAAACAAGATATTAATCCAAAGGGTTATGTGAATAGCAATTTAAATAGCAACTCTGTACTCAATGAGGTTTTATGGTAAAACACTTTAACTTAGAAACCATAATTGAAGGCTTTTGTGCAAAAAGGGTGTATATCGCTTTTTTGGCCGATTTTCATTTTTTCAGGATTGAGCTAAGTTTTGGTATTGTTCCGTAATTGTTTGATGTGTGCTTCGTTTTCGAGATATAACGTTTGCAAAAAAACTCAGTTTTCCAAGGGTTTCCTTTGGAGATCCTTTGTTGAAGTTAAAACAAAAGAAACCTTTTGTTTTGCTTAATGATGAAGTCACCAAAACGTGACTTTTGTTGCTAGTTGTTTGAACTGATACAAGTTTCACTATTCATATAATTATGCTATTCTCTTACTGTTGCTTTGTTAGCGGTCTATTTCTCCACTTCTGTCAAAAATAAAAACATCTATTTAAGAAAAAACTGTTCTGTTGAAACCGCTAAAAGTAACCGTTTAAGTTCGTGTCGTGTGAAATCCACCTTCGGAGGATTCACTCCAAAAGATGCCGCTTGGAATTCCGAGTTTTTTGCATATGCTATGCCTCGAAAATGAAACGCAACTCAACAAAAACAATTACGCAACGAAAGCCTTTAACTATTAAAATTATGAACATCAGGGACCAAAAGTTAAAAGACAATGAGACAAAGAGTTTTGACATGTCCTGCACCTGGTTCCTCTCCCGTAACTGCTCTTGCGACCGCTCTTAATCTTATCTGATTGTTTTCATTTGCATCTTACTGTGTACTGTTAGTAATAAGTTAGATTTATTGTAATTTTATTATATTTTAGATTTCTTATCAGATTTTTTTAAAATTAGATTTTGGGTTTGCGCCCGCATGTGATACTTTTCTCGTTCGCGTAATCCCTTTTGGTCTTTTCATTTCTACTACAGTCAAACCTCGATTATCCATACCTCAATTATCCGGATTTCTTGATTATCCAGACTTTTTTCCCAGTCCCAATTTTGTCATGAATATTTGTTAGTCATGATCAAGATCTGTAGCCATATTCTTTTTAAAACTACAGCTTTGAAAAGTGCAGTCAAAAGCGAGTTTGTTTTGCTTTCAAATTAGAGAGTAAAAGCAACACTGTGTAATACTCACATGTAAAGGTATTCACAACAAACAGTGATGATGTAGACCATATTGTTTTCCAAATGATTTGTAAAAGTGTTGTTTCACAATGAAATGTTGCTTTCTTAAAATAGTAAGTTTCGTTCTTCATTAATATTCATATTTTTGAGTATCTGGACCCTCGGTTATTTGGATTACATTGTATTTCGTCTAGTCCCAACAAGTCCGGATAATCAAGGTTCAGCTGCATTGATTTTACTATCTATGTATATATTTTAAGTTATGAGACCAATAAAGTTGATAGACTATTCTTAAACCAGTTCCCTCCTGCTAAGAACATTAATGAAACCCATGCAGCATCAATTTCACATCTGTCAATTGGAGAAGTGCCTATCCCCTAGGGGTTATTCCTAAGTGTTTATTTAGCATTTTTAGCATTTTCTTTTCCAAAATAACTGGCAAATTCCCCAGGGCAAAAAAGAAGTCAAATGTCCTACTGTAACTTGTATAGCAATATAGATGTCACTGGAACTTTCATTTGACCCATATTTGATAAACAGATAATTAATGAACTGAATACATCAAGGAACAACATTATTTTGCATTTACAAGGGTGCCTAATTCTGATTGGGTTGTTCCAAGGGTAGGCAAATTCCCAGTCCTTGGCAATAACAAAATATCAAATACCCCACCCTTCGGATTAAGGTGTGAGCAAATGCTGGCTGATGCCTGGGGAGGGAGGTGGGGATGAGTACTGCCCGACTTGACTCAATGGAATGCATAAAGACTTCAGGAAATTTTGAGGGTAAATGGGTCTGAAAGGCTAGGTGAGCATGTTGAAGACCCTCCTTGGAGTTTTCTTAGCTAAATTCCTGCCTATAATACTTATGTTTAGTATCTTTAATATTCAGAATTTCACAAAGCAGTATAGACACCTTCAAGTATTGTTTTCAAGTTCTTTCAACTCCACTAATCAACTAACAAGCTGCATCCTGTGTTTAATGCAAACTTGATACAGGTTAAACAAAGGGAAGTTGGTTTTTTTTTTCAGGAAGCCCTTTTAGAATTCTCCCATGTGTACTTCCCTTCTCCTTGTATCTACTATCAGGTTACATAAACAGGGAGGAGAAATGTTCAAGTTCCTTTTGGAGCTGACAAAATTGAATTGTAAAACAAATGACTTTAATAACAACCAATCCCTAATCAAAAAAGGTTTTATAACATTTCCTTAGGATTAGACCAAAGATGACAAAAGAAGCCAACTTTGTATCTGGGAGATAATTCAGTATCCCACTGAGATGAGTAATCCGTCCAAGATGGTTGATTTGTCCAGATAACATAGAAGTTGTTATTTGGATCAATTTTGAGCCAAAAATATTGGCCCCATTTGTCCAAAGTTAAACCAAATTTAGAATTAATATCCTTCTCAGCCTGACAAATTATCCATCTGTCTTCATCTACTGTATAAATTAGGCCAAATTATTGTAATCATAAACCGCAGTTGTTAATCTGAATCTAGACGATAGTAATCTACCCTTATCTGATCCCTACTACAATTTTGCATCACAATCTTATGAATATTTTTAGCTCATCAAGAGCAATCATAAAAGTGAAAGAGTTAACTATGACAGAGTAGCAGATAAAAGTTGACTGATGATGATACATATGGGTTATTGACCAAGTGCGAGGTCAAGATGGCTGGATATTGGCCAAGTTCTTTTTTTGCGTGTTTATGGACCGAGACGGAGTCGAGGT